AATCGAATAAAATCAACAAAGCGTTCAATCACAAGCTGGTAATCACATCTATATGAAAAATTAGTAAAAGATGGGTTCTTATTTATTTGTATTATTTTCTAATAAACAGTTACAATAACAAATAGTGAAATTTGAAATTTTTTGAGTGCAAAAAAACAATACTATGGGTTTCTACCAGTGTTGCCGTTTGAAATTTTTATTTCAGCCCAAATTTTTTCTAAAAACCGCCCAAAATCAACCATATCCGCCCAAACTGTAAAAAGTTGAATAATTTATATGTAGTTTGTGTTTTATTACATTCAATGTATTTAATACATTAGAGAAAATAAAAATTTTATGTTATTTTACTTCAAGTTTATATATATATATATATATATATATATATATATATATATATATATATATATATATTATATATATTTGAAAAAGTAACATAATACAAGAATCCAATGTATTAAATACATTAAAGTCATTATTATTATTCAGGTTTTTATACCCTACAACACTATGTGTTGGGGGTATTATAACTTTGATTGGGCCAAAAATTATGTAACACCACGAAATATTGGTTTCCCACCGAGCTGAGTCGATCTAGCTATGTATTTCCGTCTGTCCGTCTGTCCATGTTAATTTGTAATCACTCTACAGGTCGCAATTATGGCCCGATCTTCAAGAAATTTAAAATGTAGGTGGGTTAAGGTCAGAATAGAACCCTATTTCTTTTGGAGATGATCGGATAATATTTAGGGGTTCGAAATGGACCAAAAACTGAAAAATTTCCTGATTTTGCAGTTGCTCTACAGGTCACAATTATAGACCAATCGAAATTTAGCATGGGGCTAGATTTTGGACTGGGCAGAGGCCTTCCAATTTTGATGGTCATCGGGTAATATTTAGTGGTTTAGTAGACCATAGCATTTGCGATAAATAAAAGTCAAATTTTCCATTAATCCGCTGATATTTTTACTGCCGGCGAAGTCACAAATAGACGAACAGGTCAATTCTGACCGTTACGTAGATGCCGATAGTAAAAATATCGGATATATATAGAGAAATATATACAATGTATATATACAAAGGAAGGGGATGTTAGGTAGAATGCTTCTTGCTTTTGGAGATGATTGCAAAATATTTAGGGGTTTAAATGAACCAAAAACAGAAAAAAATTTCCTGATCACACAATTGAAGCCCGTCGACACGCCTGAGAAGATAGGTAAGCACAGGGAAGAATTCTGGCATTTTGGATGACCATTGGAATATATTTAGCCGTAAAATGGACCACAAAAACTAACAGCACGACGGACTGCATAAATATTGGGAAAATGTCCTTGGTCAAAATGCTAAGAGTAATATCTGGGCAGTGCTCCGTGACATAATTTCAAAAGCGAAATCTTTCAAAATGTATTTGGACATGAGGGGCCTTCTAACATATTGTAGTGTTGTAGGGTATCATATGGTCGGCCCCGCACGACTATAGCCTAATGTATTATATATATTATTAAAAAACTTAACAAAAATCTATAAAATAAATAACGATTCATCTCAATAAAAAAAAATATAAAATTCAGTTAGTAATAAAAAAATTAAATTACGTAAAAATAAACAATGAAAAATAAATTTGTACCCAATATGGAAAAAATCCGCCCAAACCACAAAATTTATTTTTTTTTCGCCCAAATTTGGACGGAAACGCCCAAAACGGCAACACTGGTTTCTACGCATTTTTACAAACATTTTGAAACATACGATAAATTAATATTTCACCACACTCAATGAATATTCACCACCGTATAACAGATATAGTCTTAAACAATATATTGACAATCCTAAAAGTATGCAATAATAAAATAGGTTTATTTTTCAATTGATTTAAAAGCAACGTCGAAAGACAACACACTGTGGTACAAGCGTTATGCTTTTATACCCTCCACCATACTATGGAGGGTATATTAACTTCGTCATTCCGTTTGTAACTCCTCGAAATACTCATGTCAGACCCAACAAAGTATATATATTCTTGATCAGCGTAAAATTCTAAGTCGATTTAGCAATGTCCGTCTGTCTGTCCGTCTGTCTGTTGCAATCACGCCATCTTTCGAACGAATTGAGATAGAAGGCTAAAAATTTGCACACATGTTTATTTTTCCAGTAGGCAGGTTAAGTTCGTAAATGGGCCATGTAGGTCCACGTTTTCATATAGCCCCCATATAACGGTACCTCCCGATATTCGGTATTTTGTTGATTTTAGCGACATTATTCACCGGAATTGTTTCTACTTTGGTATTTGAAGTTCGAAATGGATACTAAAGCCTATGACAGAAAATTATCTGTGCAGGCCCACGTCTTCGTATAGCCCCCATATAACGGTACCTTCCGATATTCGGTATTTTGATGATTTTAGCGACATTATTAACCGGATTTGTTTCAAATTTGGTATTTGAATTTCGAAATGGATACTACAGCCGAAAACATAAAACTGTCTGTGCAGATCCACGTCTTCGTATAGCCCCCATATAACGGTACCTCCCTATATTCGATATTTTGATGATTTTAGCGTCATTATTCACCGGAATTATTTCAAATTACGTATTTAGAGTTCATAATGGGAACTACAGTCCGTAAAAATTGTGTATGCAGGTCCAGGTCTTCGTGCCCCACATATATATCTTATATATGGTATCAAATATCATTGCTGTGGAGAGTATTTACGAATGTGGGGGATTTAAAGACCAAATCGGATGAAGCATATATGGGAGATATATCTATAGAGATATCTTAACCGATTTTCACTAAATTTAACATACTCACTATATTTGGCCGATTTCATGTATTTGAAGCACCAAACACGCTATGTATCTCTAATTTCAATTAAATTTGGAATGTGTAACGGACTTTAAAACGAATATACATTTGTCAAATTATATTGAAATTTGGATATAGCTTCCATATATTTTCGACCGACTTTGTTTATTTGATGCACCAAATACGATATATATGTTCTATTTTAATGAAATTTGGAATGAGTGACGTGATTTGATTAGAAAATACATTTGCCAAATTATATTAAAATTGTTTCAGATATGGATATAGCTCCTACATTTATTTTCGGCCAATTTTACATATTTGATGCACCCAACGCGATATGTAAGTCCGATTCCAATGAAAACGAAAGAGAGACAAAATTTAGTACCAACATTTTTTGCCAAATTAAATTGAAATCGGCTGAGGTTTAGGTATTACTCCCATATATATATATTTCGGCCGATTTCATGTTTGTTATGCACCAAACACGATATGTATGTTCGATTACAATGAAATTCAGAATGTGTGGCGGAATTTGGTTACAATAATAAATTTGACAGATTAATTAGAAATTGATTAAGATTTGTATTTAGCTCCCATATATATTCTCGACCGACTTCAAATATTTGATGCACCAAACACGGTATGTACCTCTAATTTCAATGAAATATAGAAGGTATGACGGAATATGGTGTAAAAGTAAATTTTGGTAAATTATATTGAAATCGATTCAGATTGGGATATGATTTCAATAAGAAGCATTGACCCACAACGCCTTTGTAATGGCAACTGAAATGCCACTCAACTTCAAAAGATTGCAGTTTCCTGCACGCTTGACACTTGCTTTGAAATTAATAAATCCGAAGGACAAACCCTACGTGTATGCGAACTAAATTTGGCATGTTCCTACTTTTCCCATAGTCAGTTGTTACTGGCATATTTACGCGTGTGTAGGCCGAGCTATTTCTTTGTTTACGCATAAAAGTATTACAACAATTAAGTTTTTTTTTTTTAATTTTTGAACTTGTCTTTTTTTAACCAACAAATTTTCGTATATAAAATTTTGAATGCATATCAAATCAAAAGTGGTAGCGAAGCGCACCGGGTTCAGCTAGTAGCTATATATATTTATATATTCGAAAGTAATAACCTCTTTTAAAGAAAGCTATATAAAAAAGTGAACCCAAGTATTTTTTTGCGAGGTGAAATTTGGGCGCCTATATAACGATATCTCCGGATATTCGGTATTTTGAACTTTTTATTCACATTATTTTCAAGAAATTTTGTAGAACTTGGAATTAACAGTTTGCATAATGGGTTCTACAATCGTACAATTAGTCCGACATTTCCATATAACTGTACCCACCGACATTTAGACAAGCAATAGATAACAATACTAGTTGCCGTTTGGTATGGTCCCATTTAATTGTTCCACCCACTTTATTATATTTCAAAACTTTAACTGCCTCTTCAACCATTAAATTGCATTAAAGTGTATCACGTTTAAACCCAGATAATTTTATTTAAAAATGTTTTTACCTAATGGTGGAGGGTATTGTTGGTTATATCCTGCCGAACCAAACTTTTTTCATTTTTCAGTTATAATTCGACTCATTTTAGATTTTATTCGGAACATCTCATTTGTAATTCGAGAATTTCATTCAGTTGTAAGTGGGTAATATCGTTTGTAATTTCAATTATTCCTTTTGTAATTAGAAGTCTTCTATTTGTAACTCTAGTCCCCATACAAATACACCTTCTGATTTTCTGTATCTTGAAGGTTTCGGCCCCAATTTCCAACCAAATAGTGGTTTTTTGACATATCGGGTTATGTGGGTAGATTTGGTTATCGCGAAAATATTTAAAGTTGGTCGGTATCCTGGAGGTTTTGGACCCAATTTTCAACCAATAATAAAATAATCTTACACCTTCTGATTTTCTGTATCTTGAAGGTTTCGGCCCCAATTTCCAACCAAGTAGCGGTTTTTTGACATATCGGGTTATGTGGGTAGATTTGGTTATCGCGAAAATATTTAAAGTTGGTCGGTATCTTGGAGGTTTTGGGCCCAATTTTCAACCAATAATAAAATAATCTTTATTTTAAAGTTTCATTAAGAAGATGCCATTTTACCCGTAGTTCTTTAATGCGTATCATTCCAGAGATCATATCACACCAAAGTTATAAAAACAATTTAAGGTTTATTCTTTCAAAAATTAGTAAGACATCAATCTTGGCTTACTTCGATTTATTCAGTTATGTGTTTCAAATAAAAATTGAAATTATTGCATTATTAGTCACATAGTAATTAAATAATGGAATGGACAGTCAGACAGAAGGTTGCACCTAATTATAAATAAATGCATTATACTTTCTTAGACAGATGTTAATACTTAAAGATACAATTAAGAGTAAATATAGAGAGAGAAAATGTCAAATATCCTCAATTAAACCATTCCCATTTTCTGTAATCTACTTCGGATGTCAGAGCATGTACTGGAGTGTGATGTGTGTTACCAACACGCATAAATACGCGACGGCTACCCAACGGCTGCAACTGACGATAATTGTCAACTAAGGCACCATCCTGAACATCGGCCAACTGACGGAAGCGAGAAATCTAAAACAAAATATGACAATTTTATTTTAGTGTCGTGATGAAGAAGTCATTGCACAGTTAATACATTACCTGTTTGGGTGAGATGGGAATGGGATCGGGGTACAAAACCCATGTGATAGCCTCGGAACAGGGTGGTGTTGTTAGAGAACCTGTAAAAAAAGTTATCTGTAATTAGTCTTGGCTATTAATTTATTTATTTATTTATTATTTTTTTTTTTTTTGCTAAACGATTTTTAAATAAAGAAAACTACAACAAATTTAGATAAAAACCTTGGAAAATATGTTTTTTTTTTTTAAATATCGCTGTTTATGTAATAATGTTTTGTCTGCACATAGGGTAAGTGTGCCTAAGTTCGGCATATCCCAGTAGTCGGCACTTTTTATTTTTAAGCCCAAATAAATGAAACTATTATAACTAAATGTATTTTGTTTACTTCAAATATATTGTCAGCTATCTTTGTGCACAATTTCGCTAAGAAAAGATGATTTATTCTAATAAAAATTAAATTTTTGTCTGTGAAGGTCCTCAACAATCCATATTCTTAAGAAAAGTACAATAAAGACGTCGAATCAGTTTAACTTAACAAAAATATTATATTTTAATGAATTAATTTATTATTATTATTAATTATTCTTACAAAAAAAATGGTATGCCGACTGTTGGAACATGTCATACCGACAATTGGCAAGTGGTGCCGACTACTGGCAAAATAGCATTGTTTTAATAAATCTACAAATTTATGAAATTTATTAAGAAGTTATTAAAACTTTATTTTGTAATTGCAAAAACTATACAACATTTCGAATCTGAATAAATTAACTTTGTAATAATTGAAATGTTCCACTCAGAATGGTGGGCGATTAAAAACGCGAAAATCCTAAAAGTGCCGACTACTGGTACACTTACCCTATCAATCAATTTTTGAAAATGCCAAGCAAAACAATATCAATCAACAAAATTAGAATTGTCATGGTCTTTTGCACAATCAAGTAGATTTTGAAGCTGACCGTCGACGTAACTACACCATTGACGTAAATAACACGTCCCCTCGGTAAGCTCATATTTTGTTTTTGAAAGCATACATATTATAAGGAAATAGTACATTTTTTGATAGTTGTACCCCATCTTTCTTATTCTCTATCAGGATTTAGACAAGACTGCTCAACAACACGAGCTCGCTAACCAGTACAATTTGCCTTAGATTTTGTATGTAATCAATGAATTTGTTTTGCAACATCTATATCTATAAAATAAGAAAATGTTTGTTTGTTTGTAATTTATGGACTCGAAAACCGATTTCATGTATTTGATGTGCCAAACACGCTATGTATCTCTAATTTCAATGAAATTTGGAATGTGTAGCGGAAATTAAAACGAATATACGTTTGTCAAACTATATTGAAATCGGTTCAGATTTGAATATAGCTCCCATATATATCTTCAACCGATTTCGTTTATTTGATGCATCAATGTATGTTCGATTCCAATGAAATTAAGAATGTGTGACGGGATTGTGATTAGAAAATAAATTAGTCAAATTATATTAAAATCGGTTCAGATTTGGATATAGCTCTCATATATATTTTCGACCGATTTCATGTATTTTATGCCCCATACTCGATATGTATGTTCGATTCCAAAGAAATTTGGAATATGTGACTGGATTTTGATTAGAAAATAAATTAGTCAAATTATATTAAAATCGGTTCAGATTTGGATATAGCTCCCATATATATTTTCCGCCGATTTCACATATTTGATGCACAAAACACGATATGTATTTCCGATTCCAATGAAATTCGCCATGAGTGACTAAATTTGGTACAAAAATAAATTTGACGAATTATATTCATATTCGCTCAGATTTGATTATAGCTCCCATATATATTCTCGGCCGATTTCACATATTTGATGCACCCAAAGCGAGAGAGACGAAATCTGGCACCAGAAAAAAATTGCCAAATTATATTGAAATCGGTTGCGGTTTGGGTATAGCTAACACATATATTTCGGCCGACTTCATACATGTTATGTACAAACACAATATATATGACCGATTCAAATGAAATTCAGAATGTGTGCCGGAATTTGGTTACAATAATAAATGTGATAAATTGATTGGAAATAAGTTAAGATTTGGATATAGCTCCCATATATATATATATATATATATATATTCTCGGCCGATTTCATATATTTGACGCACCAATTTCAATGAAATATGAAAGTTGTAACGGAATTTGGTGTAAAAGTAATTTTTTAAAATTATATTTAAATCGGATCAGATTGGGATATGGTTTTAATAAGAACCATTGCCCAATCTTTTCCAACATATATTTGTAAATAAAATTTTGAATGCATATAAAATCAAAAGGGGTAGCGAAGCGCACCGGGTTCAGCTAGCTATTTATATAATGTTGTGTTAGTTACTACGCTTATAACTCAAGAACCGCTGGTCTGATTTTAACGATTCAGACAAATTCGGAATTGTCTTTTGGCAGAAAAGGATATAATCCAAAAAAATCGTAAAAAAACGTAAAATTGATAACATTGAAGCTTTTCATTTTGACTTTTGGAATGTACAATAGTAATGTTTTACTTTGTATGATTTTTTTTCATTTTAACTTACTATTTACACCCTACAACACTATGTGTTGGGGGTATTATAAGTTTGATTGGGCCAAAAATTATGTAACAATTATGAAATTGAAAATGTAGATGGGGTTAGGATTGGAAAAGCCTATTGTTTTTCGAGATGATCGGATAATATATAGGGGCTCAAATGGACCAAAAACTGAAAAATTTCTTGATTTTGGAGTTGCTCTACAGGTCGCAATTATAGACCAATTGCATGGGGCTAGAGCTTAGGGCTGGGCAAAAGCCTTCCAATTTGGATGGTCATCGGGTAATATTAAGTGGGTGAAATAGACCATAACATTTGTATTAAATAAAAGTCAAATTTTCCATTAAAGCGCGAATATTTTTAGTTTCGGCGTAATCACAAATAGACAAAAAGGTCAATTCTGACCGTTGCGTTGATGCCAATAGTAAATATATCGGACATATATATAGCGAAATATATACAATGTTTATATACAAAGGAAAGGGATGTTAGCTAGAATGCTTATATCTCAAGAATGACTGGACCGATTTTGACAAATTTTGTCAATTCAGAATGCCCTCTTGGCATAAAAGAATAAAACCTAAAAAAATCGCATAAAAAGATGCCAATAATGATGCTAATATAGATTTTGTAGTATTTTGTGAAATTTTTTGTTTTTTCATATTTTTTATCGCATGCGATTTTTTCAATTTGACTTAATATTGAAGTGTATATTTTGTAATATTTTTTCACCTTACAACACAGGTTGGGGTTATTATAAACAGATTGCAATTATCGTCCGATTCTTCACAAAGGTAGGGTTAGGCTCAGAAGGGCTAGGCCTATTGTTTTCAAAAATGTCCCCAATATATTTAGGGGTTGAAATGGAACAAAAACAGAAAAAAATTCCTGATCACACAATTGAAGCCAATCGACACGCCTGAGAAGAGAGTTAAGGACAAGACAGAATTCTAGCATTTTGGATGATCATTGGATTATATTTAGCTGTAAAATGGACCACAACAACTAACACCACGATGGAGTGCGTAAGTATTGGGCAAATGTCCCTGTTCAAAATGCTAAGATTAATATCTGGGCAGTGCCCCTTGATATAATCTCTAATGCGAAATCTTCCAAAATAGATTTGGACATAAAGGGGCTTCTAACATATTGTAGTGTTGTAGGGTATCAAATGGTCGGTCCAGCACGACTATAGCCTTTGCTTTCTTGTTTGGAATGTACATTTGCACATGGACAAAACTGTTATTTATAGATTTTATGTATTTATTGAGTAAGTGGAATTATGCGAATTATATCATTTCCGAAGAGGAGAACGGAAATTGCAGGCGGGTTACATTGAATTGTAATATCGAAATTAGAAATAATTTCGTCGAAATTAAAGTGGTCACTCCTAAGTTAAAGAATAATTACTATTTTAAAATCTTTAAGAAATAGACAGGCTATTTCATTGGAAAACATTCTAAAATCGAGAAAAAAATTTCAATGGAATCTAATTTCAAAATCATAGCACATAGAGTTCCTTTTTTGTCAATTTTATACAACGTGCGATTTTTTCAATTCGACTTATCATATTGAATTTAATCTTTTTTTGTGAACAACATAATATCTTATTTTTACAAAAAATATGAGTTAAAATTTGTATTTGTTTTTTTTTTAATTGTCATAATTTTAAATATCTCATTAATTTTATTCAATTTGACAGCTCTATTTAAGTTGACATATTTTTTTTTTTTTTGTTTGTTTGAATTCTGAAAGCAAGCTAAAGAAAATGAGATTAGCGTATTGACGGCTGTTAAATTGTGATCTTTTGAAATTTATTTAGAAAAGCATTAATATAATTTCATATATTTTTTTGAAACCTTCAAGATATTTAAATGGCAGGTTACGTAATAATGGCATTGTGCCTCACCCAATCTGGGGGTTGGAAAATGCTAAGTGAATAGCGTTCGGTTAGTAGATCAAAATACCGAAAGGGTTTTGGGTTCCCAGGCCGTACTTTTTTAGGGCCCATAGTCCTAACCATACACAAAGTGCCTCAAATATTTTGCTCTAATCTTCGAAAAGTTGGCGATAGAGTTTTAAATTTGATACAGTCCTAGGGGTTACATGTAGAATCATTTGTACAAAATATGGGTCATGTCAGTCTACGATTTGGTATAGCCCCATAGAAAAAGAAAACGTAATTTCGAAAAATTATAAGTATGGGTCAACGTTTTGGCTATTTCCAGGGTCTTGATCACAGTTTTCAAATGAATTAGTCCTTATTTGACATCAATTTTTCCAAAATTTTTGGAATATCACCCAGGGTCTTGACGACATTTTCCAATCGATTTGGCTAAAAACGTATAGTTAGGCTACTCTAGGAGTAGAGAACAATCTTAAAGGAAAATGTCAATACATGTACATATTTTGGTATAGTCCCCATGTAACAATACCTCCCAGGTTCACCGATAGTGATGTCTACCGATTGGCGGACAAACACAAAACATAGACGTTATGTGGACTCTAACGCACAATTCGAGGTGTTATGGTAATGCGTGTAAACGAGTAATTAACTTTGACTATTCTCAAGTCATTCTGCCCTTAATTATGAGGTGGACAAAACTAAATGACACTTATCAAATGGCACGATTTTCTAAATAATGTAAATTCCAAACTACAGCTCATTTGAATGGAAAATTTAGGTTTATAACTCTCAAATTAAAGCCTATGGCTGAAAAATAGGATTAGGATTTTTAAAATACTTTAAATCGACCGGTACGTAAACCTGTATTGAGATTTTTGCCATGGGAATTTAGTTCTATTTATTCATGACCTTATTTATAATGGCTTATATAAGCCACATCTGTGAATTATTATATGCATAAAAGGCCATAACAATATAAAGCTTCAATGTTAATTGTAAGCAACTTAAAATTCCACGTAGCGCATACAAATAATCGATATGACAATTTTAATACCAATCCAGTGGGATAACCTATTTATATGTAAATGTACTCTTATCTTTTTTTGCGGTCCACAACGTTACCTAGATTTCGACGTACTCTGTCGACGTTTTTCACCACAAAAGTAAAATTTATTTATTATTTTGTATAAATTTTTTATTTTTGGTCCCGCAAGTCTTTAAAGTCTACGTGACCGTTATGTATTTAAACAATCCGTCGTACAGTCTGACGAAATTACTCTATCCTCGACCCACGTTTTTATATTAATCAGCATTGAGGTATAGAATGACAGCCGTCATATCGTCATAGGCGAAATAGAGGTGTACTTATCCAAGATAATATAAGTAGTCTTCTATTTGGTGATATGACTGAAGAGAATTTAATAACAAATACCTACTTGAAAAAGTTGCGGCATTTTAAAAGAGTTATCGCTTAGTTGACACCCAAAATTGTTTTCACCTATCGATAATAGTAATTCACTGGTATTAAGTGTCACGTTGATCAGTTTGTCCAAAAAGACCAGTTAATGTGAAGTTGATAAACATAAAAACAAAACCAATGATAACAATATATTGTTTTTCAATATTAAGATTAAATAATATTATTTAACAATATATAATTCAGCTACAATTTTCAATTTCTTAATAATACCGTATTGGAAGGACAAAAAAGTTGACCTTTGATGACGAATTAATGGCATTATTTATGCCAAATAGGACAATATTTTGGAGGTACGATCAAACTTCTTTGGAAATCAGAAATAATCAGACAACATAAAAGCTTTTTTTCAGTTTAAGAATGTACTTGTTAAAATTTGGGGCTATATAAAATTTTATAAATAATGCGTTAACAGTTTATATTGGGAACTTATGTAAAGTAGATCATAACAGCATAACAATGAACCTCATTTGAATGTGTATCATGGCTTAGAGTAGTCACATCTTTGGAACTATATCCAACTCTGAATTGATTTTCAACAAATTTGGCGGAGGCTTTTGCACTCTAGAATAAAAAATATTTATTGGAGCAATAGATATACCTGACCGAATTTGACCAAATGGAAATTTACGGTTGAATATGAAAATATCGGTTGAATTTGAGCTGATATTACACATATGGTGGACAATAACCGGATGAAGATATCTAGCGAAGGTATATAAAAATCCGAACCGATCTCGATAAGATTTGGCAGAGGTATTCTCGATCTGTATCTGAGGGACTTTAAAACCAAATCGTATGAAACATATATATATGGAGCTATAACAATATCTGAACCGATTTTCAACAAAATCGGGGTGAATTCCATCGGGAGTGACAAAATTGACATTCGGTGCATAATTAACCTGAAATCGGAAAAAGATATATATGGGAGCTATATCCAAATATGAACCGGTCTTGAAATTTTAGACACCAAATTTTAGTACCGAAGATCATTGTTGAAGAGTGCATACTACGCATGTGAGAGACCTAAACTCCCAAATCGGATGAAACATAAGTATGGGAGCTATAGCTATATCTGAACCGATTTTCACCAAATTTGAAGCACATATTTCTAGGATGAATTCAGTCGGAATTTGGGCTTATATTAGCCAATTGGTGCACAATAAAACGGATATCGTGTAAAGATATATATGGGAGCTACATCCAATTCAGATCCGATCTCGATAAAATTTTACAGAGGTACTTCTAAGGTGTTTTTGGTACCATATATCATTCTTGTGGAGTGCATATTACGAATGTGAGGGATTTAAACACCAAGTCAGGTGAAACATTTATATGGGAGCTATAGCTATATCTGAACCGATTTTTACCAAATATGATGTACTTGCTTCTAGACTGAATTCGGTCGGATGTGCCAAAATTCAGGTCATTTGGACAGATATTGTCCATTTAGTGCACAATTAACCCGAAATCGGTTGAAGATATACATGGATGCTTTATATAAATTCGAACCGATTCTCTCCTTACCACTATATGGTATAGGGTATACACACTCGATGGTCGAAAAATTCTCTTGGGATATCGATTTACATTTTAGTATATTCCACTTTTTTACCACTGACTATTTCGACTTTTCAATAGACATTTGTTGGTAAAACTATAAAAAACTACGGTTTTTGCTATCTTTGATCGAATTGATTACTAACTGATTTATGAAAATGGATACACGAAACAGTCACCTTTTTATTAAAGTCAAAAAGTCTCTAAAAATTGTAACTTTATAGAATTGTATGTGCGTTCTAAAATGTTCCTTAGATTTCTTTCTAAACTTAATAATATTAAATTATTGCTTATCATTTTTTATTGCTACCTTTCATAGCAACATCTTCTTTCCATTCAATGCCATTTCCGGTTTGTTTTACTCACCTTTGTATGTGTAGAATTTGTCGATATCAACACCATTGATGATAGATGCCAATGAAAATGTCACATTCAAGGTCACCTCATTATTGGCATCCGGAATCAAGTGCAAATGACGATTTATTGCCTGCAATCCATTGTTGTCATCCTCATCCAACTGTTGATGAAAGAACATATGATAAAAGTGGTAGAATGACAGAAAATTCAATATTTTTTCCAAACTAATAATACAATTGGAAATCAGCTATGCAGATAAAACCTAATTCAATAAATGAATGAACAACAGGTATAAAACATATATCGCACCATATGTATATATCTCAAAATATGAATATGGCATTGAATGTGGAATCCTCCTCAACATTCCAATATTGTATTTTGTTCTGTCTTTAAAATTTTGTTGAAATAAACATTCACATTAAACCTGAGTGTTCCTTAAATTCAATTTTGATTTTTTAGTTTCATCTGCATTTCACCTATTTTCTTTGCTTCGTTCTATCTTTTCTTTTCTTACTTACATTGAAAAAGAAACCCAATACAGCCCCTCCATCAGCATAGTCCAAGGCCTCCGACATAGTTTTGTATTTCTTGTTGCGATGCACAATGTGCATTTCCATGGTGTAGCGAATGTCATTGACAACATGTTCGGCTCCGCGATTGTTCTTATCGCCCCAATGGAAATGAACGCTTTCCACCTCGAATTCACCTGGCAACTTGGCACCGCGTACGTACGGCATAAATTCGCCGTTGTCTTTGGCCGCATCATCCAATTTGGGAATGGTAATTGATACTGTGGAGATTTAGACGTGAAATGTGAAAGATGTATGTGGGACATAAATTCAAAGGTGGATGGTTGGGTTGGATTAGGAATAGTGAGAAAAACATGGTAAATTTTATTATAATGGTGGAGAGAGGAAGACTAGTTGAAAAATATGCTAAAAACCTTAAATTAAAAGCTAATTAAAGCTGCCACACAAATCAAATTTATACCCAGAACACGAAGTGAGAAACGTATAAGATCTGTATATTGTCTCAAAATTTTATAATAATATTTATAATATGTCTACCCCGGCCAATACCTATGAACAACATCGCTGAGTATCATGAAACGGTTTCCATCCAAGAACGAAATGCTCAATATAAAATCGCTCTATGTTACTATACTGCCGAATTGTTGATATTTTAAATGTTCTAGCAGCATTTTTCAACCAAATAAATTGATTGGAATCACTATTTCAAATTCGTTACCACGTAATGTGTTATTCGGTTCACGTAGATTCCAAATGATTGCTGGGTTGTAACGTTTATACTTTTTACTACAAGGAAGATTAGATATAAGCAAGTAAAAAAGCTGTAATACCCCCCACAATTTGGAACGAATTAGTCAATTTTTACAAAAATAAAAAAAAAGACGAGTAAAAAAACATTAAGTTCGGCCGGACCAAATTTTTAATACCCTCCACCTTAGGGTGAAGGAAACATTTTTATAAAAAATATCTGAATTCAATACAAATTGTTCTGCTAAATTTTGACGTTCTACGTCAAACAATGTGGGCTGTATCGTGATTTTAAGAGCCAAACGGACATCTTTAAATCGACTTAGAATTTTATGCTTTATTTGAACAATTGCGGTGAATAATGTCGTTAAAATCATCAAAATACCGAATATCGGGAGGTACCGTTATATGGGGGCTATACGAAGACGTGGACCTGCACAGACAATTTTCTGTCATATCTGTAGTATCCATTACGAACTTCAAATACCAAATTTGAAACAATTCCGGTGAATAATGTCCTTAAAATCAACAAAGTACCGAATATCGGGATGTACCGTTATATGGGAGCTATACGAAGCCCTGCAGACATGATATATATTTGAGTAAACTTTTATCCAGCTCCTTCATTTCGTTCGGAAGCTAGTGATTTCCACAGACGGACGGACATCGCTAAATCGACATAGAATTTTATGCTGATCAAATATATAAAGGGTGTTTTTAAGCTAGATAGAACTTTAAATTGTAAAAAGTTACATAAAAAGTTAAATCTTGATGAAACTTTTTTTATTTGTTTCAGTATACTCTGACAAATCATCACGAATAGACTCACGCTTGAACAACGCTACGAAATTATCCAAATTTAATTTGAAAATCAAGCTCTGGAGCAGTTGGCAAATGGTCCGTTGTTTTATCCCAAAATTGTGTTCACCAATGAGGCGCATTTTTGGCTTAACGGGTTTGTTAATAAGCAAAATGAAGTAAGACCAATCCACTAGAGAGCCTACAGACTCCATTACATCCAAAAAAATGCACCGTATGGTGCGGATTTCACGCTGGTGGCATCATCGGACTTTATTTCTTCAAAAATGAGCTCGCGTTACGGTCAATGGAGATCGTTACCGCACCATAATCAATGATTTTTTGTTTAAAAATATGGATGAAATTGATCCGGAGTCTCTGGTTTCAACAGGATGGCGCTACGTGACATACGGCGAACGCAACCTTCGACTTATTGAAACCAAAATTTGTCGATAAGTTAATTTCGAGAAGTGGACCTGTCAATTGGCCTCCAAAGTCGTGCTATTTGACACCTCTCGATTATTTCCTGTGGGGCTACATGAAGTCACTGGTTTATGCTGATAAAACAGCAACAATTGACGCCTTGGAGGCCAGCATTGTTCGTGTTATTCGTGACATACGGCCAGCAGTTCTCGAAAAAGTCGCCAAAAATTGGACGTCCAGAATTCATTTCGTCAAGAACAGCCGCGGTGCCCATATGCCGGAAATCATTTTCAAATGTTAATGTCACGTACAGGGTTGCCCATATTCGACGGACCCATCTGGCAACGCCATAACTTTTGACAGAGATGTCACATCGCTTAATGGCATACCGCGTTTGACGCGTCAGTCCAAGCAGATTTTTACCATGAACCAATACACGCCACGCGAGCGCTCTGAAATAGTTGAAATTTACATTCAACAGAAGAAATTAATTGTGAAAACTCAACGTGCTTTTAAAACATTAAAAAATGTTAGAAGTGCGCCTTCTAAGAACACCATTAAGCGTTTATACGAAAAATTTTCCACTGGTAAGGCTCTTTCTAATCCGAAGAAGCCATATAAAAGTCAACCAAGGCGATCGGCCGAGAATATCGCTGACGTACGAGCCAGTGTTGAGGGTCCCCAAGAACATCCCAAAAACGCCGTTCTCAGCAGTTGGGCATGGCTCGGTCCACTTTACAACGGATTATTCGCAATGATTTGCATTTGTTCCCGTACAAAATTCAATTGACGCAAAGAATGTTGCCTGCGGACAAGCTTCGTCGATTGGAATGGGCCCACAGGCCCGTCATGGGCAACCCTGTATTGATCTTTCGAACAAAAAAATAAAAATAAAAAAAAAAATATATATATATATATATATATATATATATATATATATATATATATATATATATATATATATATGTATATATACTTTGTGAAGTCTAAAATGTGTGTTTCGAGGTATTACAAACGGAATGATAAACTTAATATACTCTACATACTATGGTGGAGGGTATAAAAATAGAGGAAATATACTTTGTGTTTGTGTGTTTCCAGGTTTACTATACGGATGACATGGAGTATACATATATGATTGTAAACAAATTGTTAATATGCATATGTGCGAACGTACCTGTATGGCCATTATTAACTAATTTCAAAGGATGTGGCAACAAATTATGATATCCAATCATATCAACAGCTGGCATATGAAGAGGTATCGACTGTCAAAGAAACAGACAAAACGACATTAAATATTAAAAAAAAAACATATTTAACAAGTTATTCGCTTTGATCTTATTCCCAATTCCCACTTACCTTTGAGACATGTAGGGCAATTGGTGATTGAGTTTTGCCAGCACAGTGGCCATGACGACGCGACCAACGCCTTTGGTTTGGTTCTGAATAACCAAACATGTTGGCAAATGTAACTGAAATTAAAACAAAATAAAAAAACTATGAATAAATTTGCAACAATATTTTTGTTATTAACTGCATTGTTCCAGAACCTGCCAAAATCTACTATTTTAACAATTTTTTTCGATATTAGTTCTGAAACGTACCATATCTTATTTCTTATTTTATTATTGTTATTAACATTATTATTGTAATTTTTATTATTTATTACATGGAGATACACTTATTTTAATTCATGTCCAGTAAAAAGTACAAAGTACCAGTATCGTCGCTGTTATTATGGGTATTTTCCAATCAATGTGAACCAAATCAAAAATCATAGATAAAGATAGACAATCATTACTTTCTAATCGAAACTAGAAATAAAAATCTTATCGAAAACAAATACCTATGAAATGGAAAAAACACACCAAAATTAAAATAAACAATTCGTCAGAAAATCACTAAAAAATTGGAGGCTAACAGAAATGACTACTCTTCATACGATGACGACTGAATTTCTTATCGCTGTTAATTTAAAGTTATTGAAAGTTATACTTTTGGTTTTATGTGAACATCTAACAATATAAATTTATTTTATAAACGAAATGTGAAATGATGTCATAATTTTTTTATTTGGCAAACAGTTTTTTTCTGGAATGAAAACAAGTCAAACTATATTTTCCAAGCTTCATTAAAAGGGAATATGAACGTTTTTTTAAAGAAAGCTTTTTGAAGGAATCACTCATCAAACATTCCAACCTTTCTCACATCAAAGCTCCATAAACTGGCTTTATGTCATCGTTTCCTTTTCATAAACCTTAAAAAGCTCAAACGTATGTATTTTTTTTTTTGCTTATTGTAGGCTGCACATTGACCACTACCATCTGTTGCATTTCGAGTGGGGGAGTATATATCAATATCCTTCACAGCGCATGTGCCTTTTGAAATAGCACATCTTAGCCTGTTATTTGGCTATTGTAAGCGGCATAGTCGTGGGGATATAGCTCAGTGGTAGAGCATTCGACTGCAGATCGAGAGGTCCCCGGTTCAAACCCGGGTGTCCCCTGTGCGGATTTTTTGTCATTCTAACATTTTTAACAAACAAATTATTTGTACCCATGATATTTGATATATTTGTTTGGTATTAAAACATGTTCATATCGGTTTAATCTTAAAATTTCCTCTCCAACAAATTGCTTCGTAACGAATATAACTTTCCCAATTGAGTTTTGCCATTTTTATACCCTTCACCATAATGTGGAGGTCATTAGGTACATAGATTCCTGATCTCTCCGCTGATGAAGTTACGATAGAGTACTCCAAATTTTAAACCAGTAAGGAAAAGTCAAAAATCGGGCAGTGTAGAGTAGATCATACCACATTCCAACATTTGGCTTTAGAGCAGTTATAGTTTACTATAGAGTGCATGATATTACTTGGAGAAGGATTTTATAAATATATATATATATATATATCGGAGCCGAGTTGCACAAAATGGAAACGAACGTCCCGAACTTCACTCCATTTGGGTTGATATTAGCCATTATTAGCACAATAAACTTGAAATCGGATTAAGGTTATATATGTGAGGGACTTAAACACCAAATCGGATGAAACATATATATGGGAGCTATAGCTATATCTGAACCAATTTTCTCCTAATTTAATGTACTTGCTTCTAGACTGAATGCGTTCAAACGTACCAAAATTCAGGACTTTTTGACAGATATTGGCCATTTGGTGCACAATTAACCCGAAACCGGTTAAAGATATATATTTGGGACCTGTATTCAAATCTGAACCGATCTTGACAAAATTTTATACACTTATTTTAGAGCTATATTTCATATGTGGTACATAATACGCTTGTAAGGGACTTAAAACCCCAAATCGGATAAAACATACATATGTGAGATCTATAGCTTCATCTTAACCGATTTACACCATATTTGAAGTACTGGTTTATATTATGAATTCAGTCGTAAATACCAAAATTCAGTCCATTTGGGCTGATATTAGCCATTTGGTGCACAATAAACCTAATATCGGATAAAGGTTAATATGGGAGCTATATCCTAATCTGAACCGATCTCGATAAAATTTGACAGAGGTATTTTCGAGCAGTATCTGATGTCCGGTATCAAATACCATTCTTCTGGAGTGCATATTACGCATGTGAGGGACTTAAAACCCCAAATCGGGGCTAAAGCTACATCTGAACCGATTTTCTCCAAATTTGATTAACTTGCTGCTAGACTGAATTCGGTGGAATGTACCGAAATAGAGGTCATTTGGACTTATATTGTCCATTTGGTGCACACTTAACCCGAAATCGATTGAAAATATGTTGGAGCTATATCTAAATCTGATTCGATAATCACCAAATTCAGTAGTGTTCGTCCTTGTTCGCACACATAATCTGGCAATAAGTGTTCTTATTTTATTAGAGTCATACGCAGGAGTGGTCGTGCAAAGCAGCACGTAAATCTTTTGTATACCCTAGAATTTGAAAAGGAGGGTATATTAACTTTGTCATTCCGTTTGTAATTCGTCGTAGAACCCATAAAGCATATGCATTCATAATCAGCGTAAAATTCTGAGTGGATTTTGAGGATTTTTGCCACGTTTCCCCACGGATTTATCGAAAAATTGGTATTTGTAGTTAATAATGGATTATAGCTCCGGTGGCGATACATTGTATGTTTAGGTCTACGTTTTTGTATAGCTCCCATACAACGGTAGATCCCGATATTGGGTGTTTTTATGATTGTTGCCATATTTTTCCCCGGATTGATTATTTTGATTATTTTTGTCACATTTTTGCACGGATTTGTCTAAAAAATTTTGTTTGTAGTTGATAATTGGCTTTAGCTGAACATTGAAAATTTAGGTCCCTTGAATTTTAAATTTTTGAAAAGTTTAAAAGCATTATCCAAACGGTCTTACTGGCATTTGTAGTTTCGCGTGATTTTAGATACTTTCATATAAAAATGATTTCTAATATGTTTGATGATGGTTCGGCTGAAGGTAAATAAAACTATTTTATTTAGTTACTTCCTTTATTTTCTTTATTATATTTAATATTTCGATTGACATCGATAATCATCATCAGGGATATTAGCTTTATTTTGGAGGAAAATATCTACTCTAATTCAACGTCAAATTCTTTACGCAAAGGTTAAGAGTTTTAAAAGTTCGACCTGGCCGAACTTAATGTTTTTTTACTTGTTAATATAATCACAATATAAATAATATACTTTTTTTCATTGAACGTTCTCCACATGAGTATCTTGTCAATAACATTGTACATTTCTGTTGTATTTTTTTCAAATTAAAAAAAAAATAAAAAAATCGCATAGGGGACACCCGGGTTTGAACCGGGGACCTCTCGATCTGCAGTCGAATGCTCTACCACTGAGCTATATCCCCACGCCGAACGTTGTGGCAAATGTGGTATACAAACTTTGTGTCAACAGTTCTAGGCAAGCACTTGTCGATGCTAAAAATAAACTCACAACAGCAGCGATAACGACAACACATTAACCCGCTTATTGTTGAACGACGAAAGCAGCGGAACACACCCACAACAAAAAAAACATGACAAAATGATACCAAAGAAATAACAAAGAATGCTTTTTCATAGCTACACATTATTTAAAGATGTTGTATTTTGTAGAGGAATATATTGTTTTATTAAAAAACCAGTAAGGAAAGGTCAAAAGTCGGGCGTGACCGCTTATGATACTTTACACCACTATGCGTATTTAGTAGATATTATGTGAAGTAGAACATAACTATGAACCAGATAAGGATAATATTACAAAATATTTATTTGAACAATATATGTATATACCGAACCGAGTTTTACAAAACGGTAAAATTCGGTTGAACATGAAAACTCTGTTCAATTTGGACTGATATTTATAACCGTCAAATCGGTTAAAGATATATATCGAAGCTGTATTAAAATCTGAACCGATCCCGATTTTCGAACAGTATTTCATGCCCGGTATCTTATATCATTGTTATGGAGTGCATATTACGCATGTGAGGACTTTAATACAAAATCGAATAAAACATACACAGGGTGAGATGAAAAAACTGCAACCAACTTCAGACTGCTGTCATTTCTAAGCCACTCTTCCGACAGCTGTTAAAATTATTCCAGTTGGCTATCCAACATTTAACTGTGAATAAATGTTTGTGTCTCGTACCATCTATCGTTACCGTGATACTGGTAGCGTAGCCCGACGTCTAGGAAGTGGATGGAAGTTGATCTAAACTCGCGTCGCAGTGTTTGCCGATGAGAAAACATTCGTTATCCAGCAGTTTGTAAACAAATAAAAGAATCGTGTTTACTTGCCAAAGAGGTCAGCTGAAAATGTGCACCTTCGGTTGGCCACCAGAACTCAAGCGCCGTCCATGGTGATGGTGCCGATGGGCACTCTCCGCTCGTATTGATCGACCGGGAATTCAGAATAAATGCCGAATATTATCGCGAAAATATTCTGGAAGGAGTATTAAAGCCTTGGGCACGCAAACATTTTGGACGCAGACCTTGGACATTCCAACAGGACTCAGCACCATAGCACTCACCACGCGCCACCCAAGAATGGTTACCAAATGGGTTTCCTCGCTTCATTTCCATCGCACAATGTCCACCAAAATCTCCGGATACCAATACCAATATTTTGGAAAGCAAGGTTGGCACTAAAAAATACCAAAGTATCGATCATTTCAAGCAAGCGCTTCACCGGGAATGGGCCAAAATACCGCAAAGCAACATTCGGGCAGCGTGTGACGGTTTCATTGGCCATTTGAAGGCCATAATTCGTGCCAAAGGTAACCAATTCGAACAAATCTAAACTTATTCTATTATTTGATGTTACTTCCGACATTTTTTGCTTTCATTCAATGAAGTTTAAAAAAATGTAAAAATTGTGGCGTTTGACTTTGTTGCAGTTTTTTCTCACTCGTATAGGGGAGCTATAGATATATCTGAATCGATTTTCACAAACTTTGAATCACTTGG